CAATATTTGAGAAGATACGGAACCCTAAAAAATATTTTTCTTCTGCCGGAAAATAAAGCCGCCACCGAAGTTCTCACATCTGCCGTTCACCAACTGCTGTCAGTCCTTGCTACTCACCTCATTGGGTCATATCTATCTGCTCTCTGTCGTTTTCTGCACCCGTGACCACTTCCGACTGGCGTCTTCCGTGCAATCTTGCTCCTCAGCCGGAAAAAATAACTTGTACATTTTCTTTCTATTTCTTTCTCTCTGTATCTCTCCTAATAGTTACTAGTTAAAAGTAAGAAGGGTTAATGATTTTGAAGATACCAATGTGAAAAGCTTAAAGTAGTTGTCAACTTTTTTGCTAAATTATTATTTATTAATTTACTCATAACTATTATCTAATTAAAAATATGTTACTTTTTTTTTTTGAAAGTTGAATCAGCCGTTTATAATGATTTTGCTCCACAGAAATGTGTTTATTAACTGTTATTTATCTTAATACTATTTTAGTTGTTAGTGTATATATTGATATGTTAATTGTTCGTATGAAAATTAAAATCTCTATAAAACAAGCTCACTATAGTAACATAATTGGTTGTTTGAAAAATATATTTGTTAATTATCATTTTATTTTACTGTTTGTTAATTGCTAATTAACTTTGATATGCAATGGATATTAACATGAAAAAAAATTAACTATTGACGAAATTTTAAATGGCAATATCAAGTTTCACTCAAGAGCGCTCCATTGCTTTTTTAGATGTAGAAATACCAACTTATACATAAAAACAATCACAAAATGCTCGTTTATATGAACTTTAAAAAACTTTGGTTCCGGCCCCTTAGTTTCAGTGTTCGTGCTCCGCCCCTGACAACAAGTTTTTTCTCCTTTTCTGTAACAAATCAAGTCTTCTTTAGACGAGGAAATATTTCATCCATATATCTAATCAAATTCTTTGTTCAAAAATTGAGGTAATATAAAATACTTTAAAGTTCAGAATTAAATAATAATAATCTTAATGCATGCCTTATTAATTCAATTAATTGTATTCCTTCGATTAAAAAAATGATTAAATATTCCATTGACTTCACGGTCACTTAATCTTTTACGTCTACAAAAACATAAATCACTTCAAAAAACAAAAAATCAAACCCCAAAAACCGAAAACATGATAGGTTTTGTATGCTGCTGTAGAGCATCCACAACCACACTTGTGTTCATCATTTGCATTTGAGTTTCTTTTGTTCAAACCAAGCACACACTACAAATAAAATGTCATTTAATGGCACATAAAATGTGCCACGAAATACCTAAAAAAGTGTAACTAAAGGTCTGTCAGATAATCAGCGGCACAATTAAAAAGTATCACTAGAAGTGCTCCCACTAAAAACCTTTAGTGACACATTTCGATTTTGTCGCTGCAACTTTTTAGGCTTTTGTGGCATATTTTTATCTGTCACAGTAAATCAAAAGTATTTTGTGGGACATATTTTGTGCCACTAATTACTCATGTGATTCTAGCGTTTTTGTGATTTTTAGTGGCACTTATCATTTGCCACAGTACAAGTAAAGATTTTTAACACATTCAGTGCAGTAAATATCCATATGATTATAAAATTCATGTTACTTACATATAGACACATTTTTAGTTATAATATAAAATATAAAAGCTAATTAAAACTGCGTGCATGGAAAATAATAATAACTTCATTCAATCAAATGTTTAGTAAATTTCAAATAAGTATAAATGTGGAACAAAGTACACAACTAAACATAAAAATAACTAACAAAAGTAATAATAATAATAATAATTAAAAAAAAAAACTTCAAACTTAATTACAGTTGAACTTATTCTCCAAACTTCATACTAATTTGAATCACCTCATGTTAGCTCTTTTTTAGAATCAATACTAGCAATTTCCTGTCAAAAAATAAATAAAAACAATTCAAAATATAGTTAAATAAGGAATAATTTAAGAAGTAACTAAATATCAAGCATAAATGAACCGTGTCTAACAACAAATGGAAAAAGAAAGAACATAAAAGTGATTACCATTTCTATATCGTGCCATATATTTTCCACCTTGTATATTCTACCATCTAAGTATTATTATCAAAACCTATGACCCTGAGCATCATTCCAAACTACAATTTAAACAAGAAATGAAACTTTTAGTCTTCTATGCCTAAATAAAAAATAAAAATAAAATAAACCCTTACTTGATTGTGTCTATATAAGTAAAATGAATTACAGAATCATAAATATTTTGGGGTTTAGTGTTTTTTACTTAATCTGGATGGAATGACTTAAATGATTAATCCAAAAAAAAAACCTAGCTTAATGCATTAAGACACTAATATGTGTCCTTTTTTCCTCCCAACTCCACTCACGTTGAAATTTATGAATATTGCGAAAAAAAAAAATTAAAATGTAAGGATAAAATTATCATTTACATGGGGACATGTAACAAGCCTCGACTCCCCAGCAGTGTTAGTGCATGGTGGTGGTTGTGGAGGCTCAAATTCTTGTTTTGAAGAGTTATAGCTAATTGTAGATCAGAGAGATGCCATATTAAAAAAACATTAATTTTATTTTTCTTAATTTGTGTTATAAAGTGGAAAATAATTTCAAAATAAAAGGGTAGAGACTAGAGAATTATGTAAAGCTCGTGTTCTCTTGTGGTGAATTGTGAATGCTTGCAAGATAGTCCTGAAATACAAAAATTATATTACAAATTAATAAAAATATATTATTTCTATTATATAAATAATTGACAAGCTACATACAATTGTATTAGCCAATGCATTATGTGCATCCATGAGTGGCATTCCTGACTTTCAGCATTGAAATCCTAAAAATTACAAGTTATAAACACTAAATCTCCATTGACCTATAACACATGGAATCGAATGATCAATTAAAATGGAATAAGCAAGGTAGTGAAACGAGTCTTTACATTCTATTATAATGTTTGAAGCAAACACAAGAGAATGTGAAGAAGAAGAAGAAAACTATACCTCATTAAGCTTTCCCATACCAAATCAGATTGACAAACATAACGTCAATATGTAGCTAAAAGGTATAGGTCACTCTCAAACTACACATAACTTCATCAGTTTATAAATCCACAAAATATTAACCTTTACAGAAACAAAACAATTTACTTTTATTTTAAATCAACCTTAAACATTGTTATGAAGTTATTATTCCGAAAAAAACAAAAAAAAGTTCACGTTCTTTTAGACCTTCTTGCAATGAAATAACCTAAAACCATAAAAAAACATTCTATTATCTACAACAAAAACATAAAGTATGCATCCGTTAATACACAATATATAGTCAACTGACTAGCACTATTCTTCAGAAAATTCATGATCAATTCCCCTTATTGAAATAAAAAAGAAGAAACAGATGAATTGATTGCTTTAAAGAAAATGTTAAAAAAAGAAACTAAATAAAGTGATAAACTCTTACCATGTTTTGGAGTAATATCATCTCTTCCCTTGTCTACTTGTTCTGCTAAAACCACCTCACCTTCATGCATAAGCTCTCCGCTCTCCATTTCATAATTTTCAGTAATTGTTTCCTGTATTTATACTTCCACCGGAATCACTGATTCCTGCTTTTTTTTTTTTTGGATCTGAATCATTGTTATTCAGAACTGATTGGCAAGTCCCAACATGTTTCAAGTTCCAATTACATTTTTCTTGATTGTCTGTTTGAGATTACAAGGAGCCATAAAATAACAAGATTAAGCAAGAATGAAAAATAATTTTTCATTCATTAATATGATTTGGGTCTTGATTAAAAGAAAGATATCTGGATAGGATTATGTTTTTAGAAAATTGGGGAAGCTGGGACAAACAAGATGATATATTTGATCCACCTCAAACAACAATGAAACCATTAGCACATATCTCATATCAAACCCTTCCAATTTATGGCAAAACAAAAACAACTATAAAATGTAAAAATAACATCATACTAACTAAATAACGATCTTTGGAAGATCCTATTTCTAATTCAGATGACCAAAAAGCTCTTAAAGTTGTACTAAAATCCTAAGTTCCCAACTTTTCCTTCAACCGTGAGCTCAAATTTAAAATGATACAACTTCCAATTAAATAGCCGATCAAAGAATTCAAATCTACATTATTAAATTTTGCTACCAACTAGACGACGAATCTTCACAATTACACAAAACATATCAATGAAAGCTAAGTTGTAACGAACTTTGGAAGGATAATTCTCACTTAACAGTTTACAGATTTGAATCTGATCCATAACTACCCCTTTGAAACGCTCTTCGTATACGTTATAGCCAAAGAAGGTTGTAGTCTTTGATAATTTTGCAACTTTAATTTGATTTAACTTTTGGGCGAAAATGACTCGGGAGGGTAATCAACTGTTGAGTTCGTTCTCATTTCGTCCCTTTCCTTTTTTTGTACTCAATATACCATCGAACTTGTTGTCTGTGTTCACCATAATCTTTTGACCGACTATCACAGGTCAAAAGCCGGTCAAAAGGGTTATGGTGAACACGAACAACAAGTTCGATGGTATATTGCATACAAAAAAAAGGAAAGGGACCAAATGAATACAAACGCAAAAGTTAATTACCCTCAAGAGTCATTTTCCCAAATTTTGGACCTAAAGGCGGGTTAGAAAGGATGGCACGGAAATGGATCCTAAAATGAGTAAAATCTAGAATCTACTGTGGCATATTAAATATTTAGTGGCATAAAATGTAATTTTTTAAGTTATAATAAAATATTTAGTAGCATATAATAATTTATTATATGCTACTAAATATTAGTGTAAAGTTTTAGAGGTAGCTTAAATTTTAGTTCTATTAATAAGTATGAATATTAGTGTCATAAAATATTAAGTATCATTAAATTTATTAATTTCTATAGTGGCATATAAAATATGTCACTAAAAACATAATATAGTCGCACAAAAGTAATATGCCTTGTTTGTAGTGACATGTTTTTTGCCTTTTTATCTACCCTAATGCTGATGTTTCATCTAAATAATCATCGTCATGATCACGATGATGATGTTTGGAACATCGTTTCAACTCTTCAATTCCGTGATGTAGTTGTCATAGACAATACAGCGGCTATTACAGTGGTTAACGACATGTGCTCTATTTGCCTAGCTAAGTTTAGGGACACAGATACAGTGAGTCAACTCAACAGGTGTCGTCATGTGTTCCATACATGTTGCATGGCGAGATGGAAAAGTCCGGACAACTTCAGTTGTCCACTCTGTGGATCAAATATGTTTCATGCCACATACTAACAAGATGGGAAAAGATTGTCCAAGGTTTAAAACATGTCATACTCTTACTCTGTTTTTGTGATTTAACTCCACGATGGGTAGAACACATCCACTTGTTTAATTTTTTCTTCATTTTGGAGGCACGTTTGATCAGTTGTGCAGCACAAGTTATTAAACAATCTTAAGATTCAAATTGAAGATTTATATGTTGACTATATTTATATTAACGGTTGCGTATCCCGAACTATAGTTGAGACTTTAGAGGCTATGATGCAATTATAATTTAACTTTGTTGAAGTTAGATTTTTGAAGCTCGGGTGATGAGTCGATTGTAGTTTTAACTTTAGTTGTTATTAGAACATTTTATAAATTTATATAAAAATCTAAATTATATATTTGATTTTGAATTATTTCTCGGGTAGATGTAATATATTGTGTATGTAGGAAATCGCATTTTTAACAATTAGTTCAATGCAGATGCCGATATTAAAACTATAGGAAAATATATAAAAAAAAAAAGATAAAATAATTTATCTAATAAAACTATTTGATTTTGATTAAAACCATAAAGTGGTCATGGATTTATAAAATCTATTTTTTTTGTTAGGAGAATTTTGTATATATCCTTATTAAACGTCAAAATATCATATTTCTCCAGACTAACACCTAAATATCAAATTTGTCATTCTTAATATTTTAAAATATCATATTTACCCAAATTCATTTTTTAAATGGTTTTTATTCATTTATAATCCTTTTTAATAATTTTAAATCACTAAAATTGAAAGAAAACACTTAATGGACAATAATGCCCTTACTTGGCTGGATTTAGTAAACACGATCAATTTTCTTGTGGCCCTCTTCTTCACGATCACCTGTGTTAACCTCGACATCCTCGTCTTGTCTGCCGCACCTTCCTTCTTGAAATCAAGAATACCCACCAGGTGATTGTAATTCGATATATTCCTTTTTTCCCTCTTTCCATCTATGTTCATGATTTTGATCAATTTTCCCACATGAATGTGTTGAAATACATTTCGAGACTTGATCTTAAACTTATGTTTGGTTGCTTTAATATTAACTTTCACAATTTCGTTTCCATATATTCCCTTCGTTTTGGCAACATAATCAACCATGAGACTATACTTACTAAGTCTTGAATGCTTGACACCCCTCATTAATGAATCTTGAATTCTGAAATCTGAATGTATTAAAATTTTCATCATAAACCTGTGTAATCCCGAATGCTTCAAGCAGATGTATTTACACAGAGCATTTTAAAGTACAAATTGTCTAGAATGCTTAAAGTGATTAGAAAGAACAACCCATATAAATGTCATATTTACCAAAATCATTTTTTTAATCGCTCAATACTTTATGATCACTCAAATAAATTGAATATAATTCCTTTATGATCAATACTTTATGATCGCTCAATAACTTGAATATAACTCCTAACAACTTTAAGTAAAACAACAATCATATTGCCATTACGATAAGAAAAATAAACTCAATTGCAACATCATCTTTTACAGCAAGATTTTCTTGGGGCACTTTGATATTTATAGTGGTAGGAGGAGTGGAGGAATTACAACCAACAGAGAAGAAACGAAGAAATGGTGGTGATGGCGTGGAGATAGAACACTAGAGAGCGACAGAGAAAACAAAATTAAGTGGGAAAAGGGGTACGGGGATTGTTGGTGTTTTGCAGGGTCAATAAAGTCCTTTCAAAACAAGATACAGGGGACAAGATAGTGAAATGCACAGGGGAAAATCTTGTAAATCACAGGAAGGGTAAAATTGGAAAAACAACTTTAAAGAAAGTTGCACAGTGAACAGAGAAACAGAGAAGGAAAATAAAAGAATAGGGGAATAATCTGAGGCAAAGTGTTAATGTTTTATTCACAGAACAGCAAAACAAAAGAGGGGATAATTTCCAACGTACATGTCACAACCCAAAACCGGAACGGCGGAATCGTTCAGGGGTGGAGGACGTCATGTTTAGTATCACGAGATATGTATATGGTAAGCAAGTAATGAACAACCATTTCATTTCGAAAGAAAGTGTTTACAATGTGTGTGTTCACAAAACATAGAATTCATAAACAAATAACAAAACAAGACTTGAAGCTATAATGCTCCATCTTCTGAATCCCCAGCACGAGCACCTGTCTAATAGTCTCATGAGAATACAAGTTATTTGAAAGAGTTGATCAGCAATTAAGCTGGTGAGTTCATAAGAGTTTAGTGATGTAAGTAAGTTGTAAAATGTTGTGGAAAATGTAGTTGTAACATGTAGTTGTAAAATGTTGTAAGTGGTAAGTTCTGTTTTGAAAAGTTCGCCTGTTCCTCTAGAAAATCCTATATTTCCTACTTTGATGGAAGTTTAAGTAAAAATGACACTACAACCCTTTCTATGGGTACTAAGTGGGTAAAAGTTATATAAGACTCAGAGTAAACAAACAATCGATTGTGCGCATATGCCCCAAGCTCACAACCAAACGAGGAACAGAAATTCAGGCGGATAGCACACATCCCATTGGTTGTTAGATCATTGTCATATATAACCCTGGGGTATTCACTTGTTACTCATGGAGTTAATTGTAATGGTTCCTTTATATATATGAAAAGTTCTTTAAGAAAACCTATTTTTCTTATAGTAAAATGGTGACCACAGTGACTACTTTTATAATAGCTTAGTTTATACTGCTATATATAATCTAATATCGGATAGAAAGTTAATTGAGCGAATCTGCCCTAAGCCCACAACCAAACGAGGAACAGGAAGTAAGGCGGAAAACACACATCCAACTACCTATTGGGTATTAGTTTTATATATAAACATGGTGTATAAACTAAGGTATTATAGAGTTACTCACCTAAGGTCCTTTAAATTGTACTGATTTAATAAAATGGATTAAACCCTTTACTGGGAAGTTTCTAGTTTTGTATACCAAAATTACTGATCTTGGAAAGTATGTTTTGTACTAGAAAAACTGTGCTTTGACTCTGTGTCCTATAACCTGACCCATACCTGGTACCCTTATGATGACTTAATGTATACTAAGCATACATATATATAGAATCGGATAGAAAATAGATTGGGTGAATTCGTTCCAAGCCCACAACCAAACAAGGAACAGGAAATGAAGCGGAGAGCACACATCCTATTACCTGTCGGACCCTATTGGTATATATATATATATATCCTGTGATGTATACATTAAGGAATCATAAGACTAGCATTATGGTCCTTTCTTTTTAAACGTAGCCTTCTACCAAGGCATCTTCTGTTATGTGCTAGACTCGGCGGTTCTGTTTGTCGTTTGTAAAAATGTATATTTTCCCTAGTTTATAACTATCTTGACTCGAAAATAGTTTGAGTTTGACTTTCAAGTGGTACTGTCACTTTATGAAAGTAATGGGAAATGTAAGTACACAGTTGTCGTTTATAATGACAAGTGGATGTACTAATGACCTAAAAACATGTTTGTTTTAATACGGTCATAATGTGAAGGCTAGAACCCCTACTAAACGTTCTCCCTGTCAAGAGATTAAGGGAACCAAACGCGACCTCTGCAAATTCTTGCAAGCCGTGTAATTCACATTTGTTATATGATCATGTATACCCAATATAACTATCACCTTTTGTTTAGAACAATGAGTTAGTGATTCATTGGTATAATTAGATCCTGTAGTGTGTGTTCTCATGCTATGGCAACCTAACTTGTTTGTTTTGTATTGTATATTGTATGTTCTGTTTGTTTCTCATAATTGTGTGTTCTCTCTGTATGGTATTGTTTGTTTCTCTTCACTGTGTGTTTGACTCATGTAAGAACTGACTCTTTGTGTGCTTCATTGTACTAAAAGTAATGAATAGCATTCTCCTAAACTATACCTATTATAGTTTACTAATGTTCTACTTGGACTGTTACTGAAAAGACTCATTTATCTACTAAGTTATGTTTGTACTTTAAAAACGGAGTTTTGTATAACTATAAAGTAACATAACTTTCATAGAGTTTTTGAAATGTTTTGACAACTTATAAATGACATAAGTAACATTTTGAAAGATGTTTATAACAAACATTTACACAATTATCATTGTGTTCAACTTGTATTCCCCCCCCCCCTTAAAACAGTTAAAACAGTTAAAAGATTCATTAGGGGGTATGAACTCACCTGATGTGGGTGATTCAAACGGGTATGCGTGTAAGGATGAGAAGTTCCACGAATGAAGTCCCGAGACACAATAAGTCCTAAATGACATATAAGGACACATATTGACATGAATATAGTGTTCATAAACAACTATATGAAAGGAAACACCTTCCGGGACTAGGAAACACTTTGACCAAGTGTTGGAATCACATGTGATTCAACAAACGAAGGTAGAATGACCCTCACATGAGTTTACGGCCATGGGTTTACGGCCCAAGTGAGTTTACGGCCGTAAACTCATGGTCACTCATGGCTAAGTGTTGGTTTGAAAGCTAAGGAAACTTTAGGGACTTTTGCTCTACACTTGTATGAAAAAGACCACCATCATTGAGACTTTTGATGAGTTTACGACCCAAAGGAGTTTACGGCCGTAAACTCACAATCCTTTATGTATTTGAGTGAAGTTTAAGGTCCTTCAATCATCAAGGAAGGGTTCTAGGTCACTAGCTTTACATCTTATAGGGTTTATGGTCCATACATGCTTCAACATTGAGTTTACGGCCAAGGAAGATCTTGGGCCGTAAACTCATGATCTTCATGGGAAAAGGCATGTTTCAAGTCTCTAAGCATGTATACTAACTAGATATGAAGTATAGGGAAGAGTACTTACGATCTAGAAGCTTGAAATGGTTGGTTTTGGCCAAGAACACTAGTGTGTGTTCTTGGTGTTTCTTGAAGATCTAAGAAAAGAGTGATTTCTTATGGATGAAATCATGGAAGGATACTAGATTAAGAGATGTATCAACAAATCTAGGAAGAATACTTACTTATATGAAGATCTTGGAAGGAAATCTCGATGA